CAAATGCTAAAAAGCTGCCGTAAGTTTTGTGATCAATCAACTGAGCAAAATCGACTGTTTCATCCCACAGATCGATCGATCCTTATTATGGATCTATTGATCCCTTCATTAAACCGAGAATTGGAAATTTTCAGTATTTTTCTATTTCGACTTGGTTTTACCAGAGAGATTGAACTAGAATATGTTTGAGCTATTTATTTTGTGTTTTAGCCATTGTTGAGATTACGCTTTATTTTTATTGAGACTTTTGGTTTTTGGAGTTTTGTAAGCTCTATGGAAACGATCTATGACTCAACATCACATAGAAGATTTATGAACCCTCTTGGATTTCTTATTTTATGATTATGAGTTTTTCTTTATCTCTCTGTGCTTTATATGATTCCATGTCTGAGTAATCTTAAAGTTCGGTTTTAGGGTTTTCAATGAAATCATTCATTGAATCAGACATAGATCGAGATTTATCATATGTTGTCTTCACCTATTGTTATTCATATTGCTTAGACTAAATTGATCATTTAGTCTTTGATTTATGGTTAAAAATATTCACCAAAAGTGCTATAGATTGTTTGATAGAACATAGGTGAGCGAATTGTCCTTAGCCAACGAAAGCTGATGCTAAGGCAATTCGTGAACAAATCGAACCTGCTCATTATTGCTTGTTTAGAATTCTAGGTCCAAGCGACAGTTTAGAATTCTATGTTGTTAGATAAAGTGATTGATGCCATGATAGTGGATTGATTATATATTTATGTTTGAGTTTGAGACAGCGCTAAATTGTTCCCTGAATAATTGTCTGGTTAATGATTTCTGATTTTCTGCGATTATCCCTAAAGCTTGACGCTTTTTATCCATAAGCTTACACCGTTTTAATTGCTATTTTAGTTTCATATTGCAAGCAACCATCATCTTTCTGTCTTAGCTTAATTTCAGTTCTTATAATTCGAAGTGTAAAACTTGGTTCTTGTGGATTCAATGCCTTAATTATTACAACATTTGCAATGCACTTGGAGTGATATTTATAGGGTTAAAATTCTGTGTATCACAAACATGAAAATAAACTTTCACTCTCACATTGCCGTGCATAGGAGGAGGCTGCTCATGTTATAAAACGAGCCCTAGGGTTTTCCAAACCCGAAATTCGCTAATC